GACGGAGCCTCCAGCAGAAAAGTTCCACAGTGCAGCTTTAGTCCGTAGCGTTTGTGGCTGTAGCTGAGCGTGTCTGGTGGTGTTTGTGTTCAGGTGGTGAAGATCCTGGAGAAGCACGAGCACGGCCGCAGCTGCGGCGCTCTCAGCTTCCTGTCGGGTCACGTGACGGGCGGCGGCGGCGGGCGGCGGCGGCGGCGGCGGCGGGTCGGCGCGTGCGGGCGCGATTCCCGCCGACGAGGCCAGCGCCGTCCAGAACTACGTGGAGCACATGCTGTTCCTGCTCATGGAGGAGGAGGCCGGACAAGGTCACGTTCACTTTAACGTCTCATATCGATGCTGTGACGCTAACTGAAGGCCCTGCTCTGTCTGAGGTCTGCTCATGCTGTGTTCAGAAGCGTCAGGGCCCAGGTCATGTTCAGCGTCTATGCAGATGTGCATCTGGGGCGTCCTGTGTTTTTGCTGCGAGAATCTGGTGTTGATGCAGAGCGTCTTGAAGATCAGGTGTCGATGCTCTGGACACACGTCCAGATGTTGACGTCAGAATTTGAAAATGCTGAACTTTTGGCGCGGGACATGCCACACCTCCTCCACTGATGAGTTTATGTAATAAATATATTCAAGTTTCTCTCTCGACCGGGAAAACAAGGCGCTCGCTGACTGCAGCGTTGGTCCGCGGCGTCTAAGACGCGTTTGGGCGTCTGAACTCAAATGCGACGGCTCCAACTGGAGGCGTCCGGCTCGTTTTTTGACGCCGCGTCTGAACGCAGCTTTAAACTTTAATCTGAGTTTGATTTGAACACAATCTGACCACAAAGAGCTGATTTAGTTGGAACCACAACAGGTGAGATGAGTCGTAAAACTGCACTGCATAACTTTTCTGCTGGAGGTTCCACCACCTGCTCGTCTCCATGGAGATAAACAGGTTTAATCTACACTGTGGAACATTCCAGGCAAAACAATAACATCTCCATGGAGACAAACAGGTGGCAAATCCTCCTCCAGAAAAGTTACATAGTGCAGCTTTAAACACAAATTCTCACACATTAAAGTAGAGTCACGAGGAGCTGGCATCAGGACGTTTTCTCATTGACTGTCGAATCTGAGGCTTGAAAATATTTGTGCTGAATATTTAAAGGGTGAAATTTTTATTTGTAATTTCATACATATTGAAAAAGTATAAAAATTTAGAGTAAAAAACATTCAAAGTCAGAAATTCAGCTCTATTTAAATTTCTAAATCTGATGGAACAAATGATGCTCTGTAGTCCTCGTGTGTCCACAGTCTCCGGTTCGCTGACGTGGTTCTTGGTTTGTTGACGTGGTTCTTGGTTTGTTGACGTGGTTCTTGGTTTTCTTGACGTGGTTCCCGGTTCGCTGACGTGGTCCTTGGTTTGTTGACGTGGTTCTTGGTTTGTTGACGTGGTTCTTGGTTTTCCTGACGTGGTTCCCGGTTCGCTGACGTGGTTCCTGTGCTGTTTTCTGCCTGCAGGGGGCGCCATGGGTCCGATCCTGGAGCTGGTGGTGGTGGAGGGCGTCCTGGAGCGTCTCTTCCTCTGGAGCCTCAGGAGACACTTCACCGACGACATGAAGCTGGAGCAGCTCCGCATGTACCAGATGCTCCTGGCACGAGCGCGTCAGCCGCTGCTCCACCACAAACCCGTGCTCAGGCCGCTCATGATGCTGCTGGCGTCCTGCGCACACAACGGGACAGGTCACACAACACACAACACACACAGACGCACAACACACAGACACACACACACACTCACAGATACAGAAGCAGGGGTTCATTCTAGAGCACAGGTGTCAAACATAAGGCCCGGGGGCCAGATCCGGCCCTCCAACACCTTTAAACTGGCCCTCGGCTGATTTTCTACTAAAATATTTGAATAATATTTTAATTAAAATCTTGTTAATTTTCTGTGGTGTTTATCACAGCAGCGTCTCCAGCGTCTCTGTACGTGGCCCCTCCCACCAGAGCAGCACAAATGAAGACTTGTCTCTTTCCAAACGCTCTTAAAGGACGATCGTTTTGACTGTTGACCGTGACACCCTCATCAGAAAAATGTCCAACATGAGAAAAGTGGAGCCGAGTGCAGGATTTTACAACAAAAATGGACTTATTCCTGTTTACAGACAAGTTCATGTTCAAACTTTGTGTTGAAATTGTATTTTTCTTAAAGTTTCAGGTTGTTCATAATATTATAATATTTTGTAAAAGAAAGAGTTCATCAATTAAGAAAGATTTGTGTAATAGATTTGTGTTTCTCTGCACAAATATTTGAACTTATCGCTATTTTTGAGTTTTCTGATCCGGCCCGTTTGGGATCATAGTAGGGTTAGGGTAGTAGGTTGGATACGGCCCTCGGACCAAAATGAGTTTGACTCTCCTGTTCTAGCGTGTGGGTCGGGCCAATTTTTTCTGTCCGAGTCTGGCCCTTGTCTGACATTTTGTGTGCAGAGGGTGTAACTGTTTGTGTGTTTGTGTGTCGTGTGTGTGTTGTGTGTGTGTGTGTTGTGTGTGTGTGTGTCGTGTGTTTGTGTGCAGAGGGCGGAGGAGCGGTGGAGAGGGAGCTGGTTCTTCTGCTCCATCAGCTCTGTGAGGCTCTGGTCAAAGATCCGTCTGTGCTCGAACTTTTCTTCCACACGAGTCAAGACCAAGGAGCAGCCAACTTCCTCCTGTTCTCCCTGCTCATCCCCTACACACACAGGTACTATACACACAGGGACCATACACACACAGGTACTATACACACATCCCCTACACACACAGGTACTATACACACAGGGACCATACACACATCCCCTACACACACAGGTACTATACACACAGGGACCATACACACACAGGTACTATACACACATCCCCTACACACACAGGTACTATACACACATCCCATACACACACAGGTACTATACACACATCCCCTACACACACAGGTACTATACACACAGGGACCATACACACATCCCCATACACACACAGGTACTATACACACACAGGTACTATACACACATCCCCTACACACACAGGTACTATACACACATCCCCTACACACAGGTACTATACACACATCCCCTACACACACAGGTACTATACACACAGGGACCATACACACACAGGTACTATACACACATCCCCTACACACACAGGTACTATACACACAGGGACCATACACACATACCATACACACACAGGTACTATACACACATCCCCTACACACACAGGTACTATACACACATCCCCTACACACACAGGTACTAACACACACATCCCCTACACACACAGGTACTATACACACATACACACACTACACACACAGGTACTATACACACATCCCCTACACACACAGGTACACACACAGGTACTATACACACATCCCCACACACACAGGTACTATACACACACACAGGTACTACACACATACACACACAGGTACTATACACACAGGTACCATACACACATACTATACACACACAGGGACATACACACATCCCTACACACACAGGTACTATACACACATCCCCTACACACACAGGTACTATACACACATCCCCTACACACACAGGTACTATACACACATACACACACAGGTACTATACACACAGGGACCATACACACATCCCCTACACACACAGGTACTATACACACATCCCCTACACACACAGGTACTATACACACAGGGACCATACACACATCCCCTACACACACAGGTACTATACACACAGGGACCATACACACATCCCCTACACACACAGGTACTATACACACATCCCCTACACACACAGGTACTATACACACATCCCCTACACACACAGGTACTATACACACAGGGAACATACACACTACACACACACAGGTACTATACACACACAACCATACACACACACAGGTACTATACACACAGGGACCATACACACACATCCATACACACCAGGTACTATACACACACATCCCCTACACACACAGGTACTATACACACACATCCCCTACACACACAGGTACATACACACATATACCACACACACAGGTACTATACACACAGGTACACACTACACACAGGTACTACACACAGTACTATCACCCACACACAGGTACTATACACACATCCCCTACACACACAGGTACTATACACACACATCCCCTACACACACAGGTACTATACACACATACACACACAGGTACTATACACACACAGGTACCACGCACACACATCCCCTACACACACACAACTATACACCACATCCCCTACACACACAGGTACTATACACACATCCCCTACACAACACAGGTACTATACACACACAGTACACACACAGGTACATACACACACAGGTACTACACACATACACACACACACAGGTACTATACCACACATCCACCTACACACAACAGGTACTATACACACATCCCCTACACACACAGGTACCATACACACACAGGGACCATACACACATCCCCTACACACACAGGTACTATACACACATCCCCTACACACACAGGTACCATACACACACAGGGACCATACACACACACACATACACCACCCTACACACACAGGTACTACACACACACACACACAGGTACCATACACACATATACACCCTACACACACAGGTACCATACACACACAGGGACCATACACACATCCCATACACACCACAGGTACTATACACACACCCCTACACACACAGGTACCATACACACACAGGTACTATACACACACCCCTACACACACAGGTACCATACCACACACACCACATACACACAAGGTACCATACACACACAGGTCCACACACCCCTACACACACAGGTACTATACACACACAGGGACCATACACACTTTAAGCTTTAAGGTTTAATGCCGTACTGTGGAACATTCCAGACAAAGCAAAAGTAAAGCACCTTTAAAGTGACACCTGCTCGTGTAAAGTGCACCTGTCGTGTGTTGCAGACAGGGGGCGGGTGTAAAGCGCACCTGTCGTGTGTTGCAGACAGGG